TCCACCAAGCTTCTCCTGATGAAACTGTGAGAGCTTCCTGAATCCACCAACACCTGAATCTCCCTCTCACGAACCATAGCCAACAGAACTAATGACTTAGCATCCACATTACCTGACAAAGAATGTAATGTGGCATCCCCTTTTGCAGCACTAGACTCCTCCTTCCGCCAAATGATTTCCTCCTCGAGCTCCTCTTCAGAATCCTCTGGATCAGCTATCATTATTAACATTTTGGCTGGACAACGGTGTTTAGAGTTCCACTTCTCATCACAAGTATAACACAGCCCCAAATCCCTTCTCTTCTGTAAATACTCGGTTGACAACTTCTTCACAGGTAAAGAATTGGAGTTAGATGTTGATGCTGATGAGACAGAAGGCTGAATAGACTTGTCGAATGTTGCCTTTTCTGCTGCTGTTCCCATTGATTTGGAATACCCAAAAATTTTCTTCTGATGCCCCGTAAAAGAAGAACGCAGTTCCCCATGGTGATGATCAAAAGCTAATTGCATAGCTTGATGCAAAGAATTTGGCCAACACAATTGGATAGCTCCTTGAAGATCTGCTTGCAAGCCAGATATAAAGAAAACCATCAACATCTCATCGCTGATGTCAGAAACTTGATTCATCAATTTCTGAAATTCAGCCATATAATCTTGTAAAGAGCCTGTTTGAACAAGCTTAGACAATATTCCACGCACATCCTTGTAATTGGATGGACCGAACCTTTCACGAAGAGCACGAACAAATTCCTCCCAAGAATTTATCTTTCCACTTCGAAAAACCCACTGATACCAATCAGCTGCTACTCCCTCCATGCGTAAACCAACCAATTCCACTTTCAATTGATCAGGAACTTGCTGAATTCGAAAAAATAAATCAGCTTTAAAGATCCATGTATTTGGTTCTTTACCTTCGAATTTGGGTATTTCCGTCTTCACATATTTGAGGACTGCCCTAGAATCCTCCATGCCTGAACCCGAAAGCTGAACACCCTTGTGTGGATGAACAGTGGATTCCGTTGAATGGGTCACCGTTTGTGACCTAGATCCCTGAACAAGAGTTTCCCGCAAGCAAGATTCCAGCGACTGAAAACGAGATTCCATCTCCTGAAATCGCGAACCCATCGTCTCCAAGATCTGTTCGAACCGCTTATCACTTTTCTCACAATGCTGTGAGAATTCCTCGGCTAATTCCTGCACACGCATGGCGAATACAGTGAATTCACTAGAATGGAAGCACCAGTTGTTACAAGACGCGGACTTGTAAGGAATGAAAAGAGAAATTAATGATTCATTATTTGCAAAAGTAACTGATACAGTAACTAACTGGTGTCTTTATATCCTAATGACACCTTGCCCCTTCCGTGTCCTTATTACAGACGGTTACATGGCCACTTGTATACCAATAAGCCTATCAGAATAGTAACTACCTTTCTATACACAATTTGGTCTACAACAATTAATACCTATCAGAATAGTAACTAACTATCTATATTCACATTGGGCTACAACAATTATTGTACATGGTCAATGGCCCAAGAAGGAAAACCCTTAATCCTGCAAGGTCTCCCTTTAGATGTTGTGCAACTCGTATCATAAACCTACATGATTACTTAAATATTGTCTTGAACATTAGAGGGCCTTGCAAATACTCACATGATCTAGTCCTAAGCATATCATCCCATCTGAAACAAATTCCTAATTCAAGATATTTCCCTACTCGAAGACCAAAGATCTCACCCGTTAATTAACTCATCAACATGTCAGAATGAACATTTACATGTTTTTTAATTTTTAATTATTATTTTTGATATCCTCACAAGCTTCAACACATTGAGCTGACTATGTGACTAATTGCGAGTCGAAACTTAATCACAGTTAAAGCTCTTCGTCCTTCCTCACAGATATATTTGATGACACTTGAACTTATGTTTTCTCTCCACTTACTAAGTCTGTTGATAAGTGTCAAAGATACTATGTTTTTAATATCAAATATAGTTCAAAAAATAATTAATATGATTAAAAATATAGTGTTAATTAATAAAATCTAAAAGATATTAAAATACCAACAACTGGATAAGATTTTAATCCCTTTTCATATTATTTTAGGTTTTTCAGGTTTAAAGTAACAAATAACCAATTCTAAGGGATAAAGGCAGTTGCAAAGGGTAAAGTTCAAGAAAAAATAAAGAATTAATCAATATTAATTTTTCCTCAGCGAGCTGGCTCAGAAATAAAGGCCCAGTGTAAGTCTTTAAATAGAACGCGACGCAACCCTTGAAAAGAAATTCGGAAAAGGAGGCAGAAGAATGCATTCAGAAGGCAGAGGAACGGAGGAACGGTCAAAGCTTCACCGTGGAGAACGGGTTTTATTTCCCTTGTTATGAAATTTAGTTTCTTTTCATCTATTGTTCTTGTTTTCCTGACTATGTCAAGCTAATTTTCTTTAAGTAGTTAGGGCGAGACGGAACCAATGGGTTCTTAAACGCTATTTGCTTCTCTTTTGATTTATATTCTTGATTTAAGTTATGCAATTAATCTATTTAAAATTCCTAGTCTTGTTTATGATCTGGCCAATCTTGAATGGGCATTAGAGTCGTGCATGACAATAAGGATGTTGGTGTATCGATTCCGATTGATTGATTGCTGGAATTTGTATGATCTAGGGATAGACTTATGAATTCTATAACCGTAGGTTTTTGCGTTAATGCTTATTTTATGAAAAAGTACTAATGGATTAAGTTTTGGAGTGAAATAAAGGATTAGATTACCAAGGGATTGAGATTTGATCAAATATAGAAAGAACTGTTAATAACTTGATCTTGAATATAATCATAAGAATAGGTAGATTCGTTAGGAAACCATTGGGAAAGTCGAGTCCTAGCTACGTCTTTTTGTTAAAAACTCAAAACAAATTTCTAGCTTTATTAATTCTGAATTTATTTTCTAAATTATTGAAAACTAAAAATAAGTTTAAAAATTCTGTTTTAATATTCTCAAGAAATCCTTTCACGATCGATCCAACTTTAGTTAAATAGATAAATTATTTCTTGATCATCAGTCCTCATGGGATCGACAACTTAATCTTATCACTTTATTACTTGTACGACCGATGCACTTGCCGAAGTCGCAACAAGTTTTTGACACCGTTGCCGAGGACTGATTTAATCAACATTAATCAAATCTGTAAAATTATAGATTGGATCATTTGCTTTTATTTTATTTTATCAATTTAGTTTTTATTTTATTTTATTGTCATTTTATTTCTTTGTTAGTTTAATATGTTTAATATTATTTATTTAGTTTTGTTATTTATTTTCTTAGTTTAATTTGTTTACTTTAAATTTTAAATTTTCTGTTAGTTAGTGGTTTCCGTTAGTTGGTCCCACTGAGCCTTAGTTTTCTGGTTTATGCATCTGCGAGGCGCTGTTAACCCCAATGACCTACAATACGAACCAGAGGTAGGACGATTAGAAAGAACCAATAGGAAGCGTTTGACCGCGAATAAAATACAAAACACATCGAGCTCCAATTCTGCTGAAGAACTAGTCATGGCCGAGGATAATCAAAATCCACTAGAAGAACTGATGAACCATTTCCTAAACCTTAATTTCTCGTATCCGACTGTGAGTATTAGAAGGCCTCAAATACCAGCCAATAATTTCGAAATAAAAGCCTCCTTCTTAAATTTAATTCAAAGTAATCTATTTGAAGGAGACCCAATCGAAGACCCAAACTGCCATATCACTAAATTCCTACAATTGTAACCTCATTAAAGCTAATGGGGTACCTGCTGAATCAATCCGACTGATGCTTTTTCCTTTCTCTTTAGAAGGAAGAGCATTTAATTAGCTGGAATTGTAACCTGCTGATAACATCTCCACGTGGGAAGAATTAGTTCAAAAATTTCAAAAGAATTTTTTTCCCACTCTCCCGATTCTCTGAGCTGAAAGAACAGATTAACAACTTGAAGAAAACTCGAAGGAGAATCCCTGTGTGTGGGATGGGGAAGATTTAAAGAACTAATCAAGAGATGTTCACAATATGTTTTATTGAATGGCGAGAAGGTCTGAATCTTCTACAAAGGGGTTACGTCGACATATTGAGTACTCCTTAATGCTGCAGCTGGAGGTAGTATCAGAGATATTACTACAACTAGAGATGTTGAGCTAATTGAAAAGATGGCATCTGAAGATATCTAGGTCACACCAGTTCAACCTAAGCGAGGAGTTATGCAGTTAGAAGGGTACGACACCATGTTAGCCAAACAAGACAAGATAGATCAAAGGTTAGATTCACTTGTTAAAATTTTTACCCAAAATCAAATTTCTGCAATTAACTCTCAATTTCCTATAGTCTGTGACACTTGTGGTGGACCACACAAACCTAAAAATTGTGACGCTATGGTTACTATAAACCCATCTCAGGTGAATACTCTTTGGTACGAACAACGTAGGGAGAATAATCCTTACATCAACACTTATAATCTTGGCCGGAGGAACCATTTTGCACTATCATATAACCAAGGAGCACCACAACAAGCTAATTTGGGAATTCAACCAGCACAATCTAATCAGAAAGCATCTTGGGAAGTTGCATTCGAAAAGATAGCTCAATCTCAAGCAAGTTTCGCAGAAGAAACAAGAGCATCTTTAAAGAATCAAGAAGCTTCTATAAAGAATCAAGAAGCTTCCATAAGGAATATGGAGATCAGATTGGTCAGCTTGCCAAACAGATGGTTGAGAGGTCTCCAAGAACCTTTCCTAGTAATACAATTATTAATCCCAAGGAACAATGTAATGCTATCACTACAAGGAGTGGACTAATAATTCAACCTGTGGAAAAACCAATAGCTGCACCGAGTAGTGAAAAAGATGCAGAGAAGGAAAATCCTGCTGAAGAGAAAGCTGATGACCCTGTTGATGGAAATGTCATAATTTTTGGTGGACCATTAAATGATACCCCACGAAAAAAATAAAGAAGCTTTCTTTAGAGGAAAAAATGAAATCACTTGGAGACAATCCTTATATTAAGGCTCCTTATCCTCAGAGGTTACAACAGCATGAGCAGAAGAAAAATTTCTCTAAATTCTTAGAGATTTTCAAGAAGTTGCACATCAATATCCCCTTTGTAGAAGCTTTAGAGCAAATGGCATCATATGCTAAGTTTCTAAAAGAGATCCTAACCAAGAAGCGAAAGCTCACAGTAGAAGGATCCACTATATTGACAGAGGAGAGTAGTGCAATCACGCAGAAGAATTTACCTTCGAAATTAAAGGATCCAGGGATTTTTAGTATCCCTTGCACGATTGGCTCGATGACAAAAGAGAGAGTTTTATGTGATCTAGGTGCCAGCATCAACGTAATGCCATTATCTATGATGAAGAAGCTGGGAATCACAGAGGTAAAGCTGATCAAGATGATTCTGCAACTAGCTGATCGCTCCACCAAGCAAGCATATGGAGTAATAGAGGACATACTTGTTAAGATGGACAAGTTCATCTTCCCGATGGACTTTGTTATCTTGGATATAGAGGAGGACACTACTGTTCCCATGATCTTTGGGAGACCTTTCTTAGCGACATCCGGAGCGCTAATTGATGTGCCAAAAGGTGAATTGATTTTAAGGGTGGAAGGAGAAAGGGCTATTCTCAAAATGTTTGAAAAAGAAACTCCACCACCTACAACTCAGCCAGAGAGAATTTTCCTTATTGAGAAAAAGAAGGCTAAAGAGGAATAAAATAAAGATCATAAGCCAGATGAGAGTTGCAAGCCGAAGGTGAAGATGACAAAGCCAAAGAGCAAGGGAAAACACATCAAGAGTAAGTTTAGAGTTCTTGAGGCCAAACCTTCTCGCCCATATGCACGACAGTACTATTACAACAAAGCAATATTTATGATAAAAGGAATGACATCATCTTTGAATTCCGGCTACAAACCACCATGACTAATGAAGCTGTAACGTCAAGCTAATGACGTTAAACAAGAGCTTGTTGGGAGGCAACCTAATTAATTTATGCTTTTATTTTATTTTGCTGCATTTAGTTTTTGTTTTGGTTTATTTTACTTTAGTTTAAACTTTTGATCTCCATGGTGATGTATAATTGATGATGTTCTTATGCGACTGCATGTTTTTATTATTATTACGTGCTCCTTGTTTCTGATGTGTTGTCCATTGCTGAGGACAGCAAAATTTTAAATCTGGGAATGGGGAGCACCGCCATATACAGTAGCAGTTAGACTTCCCTGTGAAGATGCGAAGAGTCACAATTTTTTTTCAGAAAAAATAGGGAAATGTTTTTTTTCCTTATTCCTCTTTATTTTATCTTATTGTGTTTCTTCTCTCTGTTTGGATTATTAAATCATGTTAAGTAAGAATTAGTCAGTAAAATTAATTTATTATGTGATGACTTAGGATATATTTTATTTTTCAGGAATAAGCATTGATTGAGTTAGTCTAAGAGTTAGTAAGAATAATAAAATTACAGTATGAGTGATTGAGAAAGAGCATGATTCACTGAATTGAACACCTATAACTGTGAGGTTTGACCCTAAACCAAATTTTTTTCGGTGTGCAATTCACTGTTGAAAATACTTTTAGAACTTGCTTTGTTTCTCCTTAAAATGATTGTTTACATGCATGTTTGAAATGATTGAGGCATTTTATTGTTTTAGCTACTTAGCCAAAAAAAAATCCAACCATTATGATATCCTTTGTTTAGCCCTTTGAGCCTGGGCCTTTTCTTTTCTTAATACCTGTTATTTTAATTAGCCACTCCACATACACATCTACCTTAAATAGGATTGGATTGTAGAAATTTCATGGTAGGGTGTAAACATCAGTACTTTATCATGTAGTTCAAAGTGGTGAAAAAAGAGGTTAGGTGAGTTGAACAAAAGCAAAGGTTGGAAAATGATGAAAAATAAAAATGTTTATTGTTTCTTTGCAAATAAAAGTGTTGAAAAATGAAAATGAAAAAGAAAAGTATTGGAGGTTGAAAAAGAAAAATACAGAAAAAAATAAAAGTGCTGAAAAAGAGAAAGGAGAAAAGAAGGAGAAAATAGATTATTTGTTTAAGTGTGTACACTTTATCATGATCTTTCTATGTTCCAATGTTTTAACTAGTTCTCTCTTATTTATCCTTCCTTTAGCCAAACCCCATTACAACCCGAATAAAGACCTCTTGATCTTTTATGCATGTTAACTAACTGTAGAGAGTGAGAATATGACCAAACTTATGAAAGTGTTGATATAGTGAAGGTTTGAGTGAAACACTTACCCTTAGACAGATGATTAATGAGTGACTTGATATATCTAGTGAGGGGTGTGTTAAAATTCAGTTTTGTGCTTGATTGATAGAACTCATGCTTTAATTTTATAACTTGCTTACTTCCAATACTGCTTAGTTAAATGTTTATTCTTAAAAATTCTCTTAATTTTACCTAAGTGTGATCATTTTTAAATTGATATACTGTCTGAGTCTTACATCAAGCATGCTTTTTACACTATTACATTATTCCATATTTTTAATTTAATTCAGTGCTGAGGACAACAATGAGTAAATCTCGGAATGATTTGATAAGTGTCAAAGACACTATGATTTTAATATCAAATATAGTTCAAATAATAATTAATATGATTAAAAATATAGTGTTAATTAATAAAATCTAAAAGATATTAAAATACCAACAACTGGATAAGATTCTAATCATTTTTCATTTTATTTTAGGTTGTTTCAGGTTTAAAGTAACAAATCACCAATTCTAAGGGATAAAGGCAGTTGCAAAGGATAAACATCAAGAAAAATAAAGAATTAATCAATATTAATTCTTCCTCAGCGAGCTGGCCCATAAATAAAGGCCCAATTTAAGTCTCTAAATAGAACACAACGCAACCCTTGAAAAGAAATTCGGAAAAGGAGGCAGAGGAACGGAGGAACGATCAAAGTTTCATCGTGGAGACCGGGTTTTATTTCCCTTGTTATGAAATTTAGTTTCTTTTCATCTATTATTCTTGTTTTCCTGACTATGTCAGGCAAATTTTCTTTAAGTAGTTAGGGTGAGACAGAACCAATGGGTTCTTAAACACTATTTGCTTCTCTTTTGATTTATATTCTTGATTTAAGTTATGCAATTAATCTATTTAAAATTTCTAGTCTTGTTTATGATCTAGCCAATCTTGAATGAGTATTAGAGTCGTGCATGACAATAGGGATGTTGGTGTATCGATTTCGATTGATTGATTGCTGGAATTTGTATGATCTAGGGATAGACTTATGAATTCTATAACCGTAGGTTCTTGCGTTAATGCTTATTTTATTAAAAAGTACTGAGGGATTAGGCTTTGGAGTGAAATAAAGGATTAGATTACCGAGGGATTGAGATTTGATCAAATATAGAAGAACTGTTAATAACTTGATCTTGAATATAATCATAAGAATAGGTAGATTCGTTAGGAAACCATTGGGAAAGCCGAGTCCTATCTACGTCTTTTTATTAAAAACTTAAAATCAATTTCTAGCTTTATTAATTCTGAATTTGTTTTCCAAATTATTGAAAACTAAAAATTAGTTTAAAAATTCTATTTTAATATTCTCAAAAAATCCTTTCACGATCGATCCAACTTTAGTTAAATAGATAAATCATTGCTTGGTCATCAGTCCTCGTGGGATCGACAACTTAATCTTATCACTTTATTACTTGTACGACCGGTGCACTTGCCAAAATCGCAACATCTGTATTGCCAACTGAGCTCCATTCATTAAGGATTGGATAGTTACACCACTTTACACGGGATCCTTTAAACTTATTCAATAACATCAAGAGCTATTATTCTCGTGTATATAAAATGTCATTTATAATATTTAGCCTCGACATTTAATACCATGTCACAATATTGATGTGATATATTTATGGAAATATTCTCTATTTTTTCTCGTTAGGCATACCACAATAACGGAAGTGACATTAAAATATAAAATACTTTCTGATCAGAACATGTTTTTACAACTGGGCCGATCATATAATAACCCTAATTATATGACTTTTAAATTAGAGGGTTATGATGAGGACCTTATGGTCATAAATAGAATGAGAATGAAATTCTAAGAATTTGGATACCCATATTGAGGGTATTCTAGTCAGGTGAATTTGGGATATTTTGGAAAAGTCACTTTTGCCGGGTATTTTGTACTACTGTAGCAGCAATTGGTAGAATCTCGGAATGGGAAAAAGATGAGAAAATGGAAATAAAGACCAATACATGCCTAACAAGTCATAATTATACCAATAATGTTAAAGTTAAGAAGATTATGAAATTCGGGTACAGTTAAGAACACCGATAAAGTCTACAGTGCAATTAAAACACTGTTAATGGATATGTGATCCACTAATCAAATTTTTAAGTTATGGACATGATAATTAGACAAAATTAATGTTAAGTACTTAAAGTTAGAGTCTTGGAGGTTTTCAGGTAAAAATTTGATGATGATTCAGATGAAAATTACACCGGGTCTCACTAAAGGATGAATGGTCACTTAGTGACTTGACACCCCTCATTAGGGCACCACTCCTCCCATATCTTGTCAGAATGTGCAGCCCCCTTTCTCTTCCTTCTCTCTAAAATTCAAATTTTGAAAACTCTCTTACTTCTCTCTAAGATTTCTTCATCTAAACCTCTCCAAAACACAAAACCTCCTTCATCAAAGTTGTTCCTCTCACTCTCCTCTTCACAACCATACCATTTTTATGGTGTGAAGCCAAAATTTTGTGGTCCTTAACCCTTGGTACAGCCACGGTTTTGAGTGGAATGAAGGCTATGGAGTTGTGTTCTTGAGCTTCCTTGAAGAACCACACTTGCTTGCTTGTTTCCTTTGATTTTTGGGTAAGTTTTCTTGAGTGTTCATGAAAAAATCCCATTTTTACTCGTGTTCTTGAGCCTAACTCATGAGCTTGTTCATGAAGGTGTGTGCTTGCCTAAATGTGTGTTCTTGGTGGAAAAAGGTGGAGTCTTGAGATAAAGTTGGAAGCTTGAAGATGTAAGCCTCCATTTGAGAAATATGAACCAAAAAGCCTCTCTTTTTCTTGTGTGTGTGTGCCACGGTTTTGTGTTGTATTGGAGAAATATTGTGTAGATTTTTTTAATGTCATGGTTTGATGATGATCCTTAAGGGTGGGTGTTTTTTGAACCATGGAATCATGGATTTGAAGAGTAAAAGTGCCACCTTTAGACATTTGTGTGTTGTTCATGTAAAAAGATGAACATGAACCCTATATGGACCCTTGATGATTTCGGCCATGTCAAGTAATAAAAAGGTTTGATGACAAAAAAATGTGATTAAGTTGTTAAATGTGAAAAAATGATTAGAAAGATTAACTAGGTGATTTAACTCTAAGTAAAACTCACTAATCATGATTAATAATGGCTAAAAACCCTAATTAAAATAGCTCATCAAATCTGCCCCATAAAGAATATAAGGGTTTAGTTGTGTTAAAATTAAGGAGATGATGAATTAAGGGATTAATTAAGGGTAGGGATTAATTAACAAAAGTAATTAAGTATTTAACTCTAAAATTGGACTAAAGTAGGGTTTAGGTACATTATTAAGTAATTTGTAAATTTTAAGTATCATGACATAATGAGACTAAGGATATTTCATAATGTAACTTACTAATAGAAAAATTTAAGAATTAAAGTGAATTAGGATTTATAATCAAAAATAATTAAGATTTGTTAAATAA